GAACCTCCATTGTTGATTTCGTTTTTCATGTTGCAACAGTTGAAACTTGGAATGGACTAGTCGTTATGGATTGAGTTTTGTCATTGGGATTCCTTAATCCCGTTTCTTTTGCGTCTGATTCCAATCGATTGCGTCGGCCCAAATGTTTAATGGGCCTCGCTCTGGGCCCATTTCTTTCTCTCTGTATTATTTGGAATTGGTGATTTCAGTCAATTGGGAATTTAATTATCGATGAAAGAAAAAATAACGTTTCGTGGACGCATCTCTTTAATATATATATATATATATATATATATTATGTTTGAAAATGCTTGGAAAATATGTCAAATCAAATTGTGGGACGATTCGGTTCCATTTTTTTGCTTTTTAATTATTTTTTTCTCGTGTCGGATTCTTTTTTCTCAAAATGATGGGACATTTATAATATCGTTCGAGGATTTGTGAAAAAATGATGCCACGTCACAACATGGCTCTGCTTCTAAAATTCACGCGAAGCCATCTGAAGGTTGAAACTGGTGTGAGTTCGGACATTTGAAACGAAACAAAAAAAAAGCGAGTGATTCGCAGGAACGAGACTAACGTGAGCTCGACGTCTCCGATAAAGAACATCCACGTGGCACATCCTCAGTAGTGATGTAAAACGGGCTGGCTCGGACCGGTCCGGACCGGCTCGTCTCGAGCCAGCTCATTTTTGGCTCAGCCCATTTTTTTACGAGCTAGAAAAACTCTGACCCAGACCAAATTATCCGAACTCCGAGCCGGCTCGCGAGCCAGCCCGTTTTTATCTAATTATTCGAAATTTTTTTAAAATTACATGAAAATTAATCATTTAAAGTCTACGTAACAATATTTTGAAGTCATACAATATAACATAAAATATTTAACATAACAATCCATAAAACTATATTTAAATCAAGAAAAATTAACAAAACCAAACCAACATAAAATAGTATAATACACCAACAACATCAAAATATAACAAAAAATATACATCAACATCAACATAAAAAATATCATACACCAACAACATCAAAATATAACAAAAAATATACACCAACATCAACATATCATGAATTTTAATTTGCTATATAAACAGAAGAAGTGAAGAAATTAAAGTATGAAACCCTAATATTTTTTTAATGTCAGCTCGCGAACCGACCGAGCTAGCCCGGATGGGTTCGGGCTCGTCGCGAGCTGGCTCGTTCGGTCCGTTTTTTTTTTCTTTTATTTTTTCGGCCCAACTCGATAAAAAACGAACCAATCGCGAGCCAGCTCGCGAGCCGGACTCATTTTGACATCACTAATCCTCAGTGGGCGGAAGACATTATCGCTTTCTGAAGGTGCACATTGCGCACTACCCGGCGCAACTTAGCGTCTTCTTCAAGTTCCACTATCTTGTTCGTTTTTTTTTTTCCAAAAAGGAAAGGCGATAAAATAATTGGACCGAGTCGGATAAGAACCTGCAGAATATAGGATTTAATTTTAATAAAACATGATTTCCAAGCAGCGTTTCCTGTTTGATTTTTCTCCCCACGATGGGGAAATTACTTTTGCAGATGATGTATGTATATAATATTATATATATATATATATAGGTTTTTTAATAAGCGTGGCGTCTATTATTTGTCGGTAATAAAAATGTTTTGTCAACACAGAATGGGTCAAAGCATAAACAGCTGTGCCCTAGCATCATTTCCACGGGCAGATTGCTCAACGGGCAAATATTATAGCAAAACGATTCATTACCTTGGATTTTAATCAATAAACCAATTAATTAATAATGTCAAAACATTGCGTACATGAAAAAGAAGGATAACTAAATAATTTCCATATTTAAAAAAAATCCCATCTTTTTCATTTTCATAATATTTTCGGCTCCTATTTTACCATTAGGGGTTCTACATGAAGAGTTCAGACTGAAGCAACGTGTAATAGTTAGCAGCTTCGTCTTCAAGCTCCCATAACGCATCACTAAACCCATCGTACAGATTCCCACCATTCATGTAGTCTTCTTCTTCACAAGTACCTTTGCTAATCATTTCGTAATTACTCCCTCCAAAATCATTGCTTGGGATTCCGAGCTCATCGTCCGAAGCTTCCAGAAGGTGTCTCATGACCTTCTCCCTGTCTCCTTCTTCGTCTTCTTCCTTTGACTCGGAGGAGGAAGAAGAAGAAGAATAAGAAGAAAGCGTCGGCTTTTCTTCGGCGTAAACGGCGTTATCTGCGTTAACGATTCCGGAAACGACGTCGTTATGCTCGTCGGGAGATATTTCTTGCTGAAGGGTGGTAATGAGGGAGGTTAAGTCGCTGTAGGGTTCTTCTTCGATGAGACAGGGGATCTGGTCGTACGAGGAACAAGAAGAAGAAGAAGAAGAAGAAGAAGAAGAAGAAGAAGGTTTCTGTCTTTTTGCTTCTTCTGCATCTATGGTTTCCAGATCTTCATCTTCTCTCTGGCGCTTCAATGGCGGCACCGTTGTTGTTTTCGCCATTTTTTTTTTTGTTTTTTGAAGCGAGAGTCTCTCTAGGGAAGATGGACAAAAGAGGGGTTAAGCTTTTGAAAACGTTAGAGAGAGAAAGGTGTGAGGGATGAGGAGAGAGACGGGGAGTCTGAAAGGTTTATATAGAGGAAGCGTCTGGTCAAAATGGCTTCTTTTTTTTCCCAAATAAATTACGAGATTAAATTGGGTCGACAAATATTTAAAAAACAAAATAATAATTTAATTGCTTCGTGCATGTCAGACAGAAGCATGTGATGTTCTCCTCGAACCTAAAATCTATTAATATTTCCACGTAAAAAAAAAGTTGTTTATTTATCCAATTACGAAAAGTAATTGCGATATCTTCATAACAATACGCACGAATACGAAATCTTGATTATCCCTAAAAATATGGCAACAATTTCCCTCCCATCAATAAATCTGTATATATTTTGTGGGAATTATGGAACGAAAATCTTTTAAAGTTTCAAAGGTTTATCAAAATATCTTGTCATCTTGACTTGAATATTTTAGGCAGAGAAAAATGTTTTTGCCAAAATATTTTGGATTTCTTTTCCACTTTGAAAGAAAATAAAATGGCCAATGTGATACCAAAACTAAATAAATAAATTAATAAAATGGCCAATGGGGACGAGAGATATTCCTTTTTTTTTTTGTGTACGAGAGAGAGAGAGACAAAAGATAAAGTAAGGAGTTGTTGTCACTGTGTCCGCCGTTGGATTTACCTTCTCAATGTAGCTTGTCTATTACGAGGAACCATCGAACGGCTGTGGTTTCACCGCTGTGGATTGCCATGCAAAGAAAAAAAATTGTTTTATCATTTACTTGTTTTTTTTTTGTTTATTCTGTCAATTTACTTCTTTTTTATATTCGAATTAAATCTATTTATATAAATAAAATATTTCTATATGCAGAAGATGAGTCGGTACAATCTTTTTTTTGGTTCAGTCGTCAATGTCGGTTCAAATTTATTAAATAAAATTTTTGTATTGCATATTCTTTATTTATTTATTTTTCTTTTTGAAGAGAGGATATGGGCAGAGTAAAAAGATAAAGACAAAAGCAAAAGAAATTATTATTTTTGTTTTTTCAAAGAGGGTGAATTAATGAATACATGCTTCGAGGTAGGGTTGTTTCTTTATACACTTCGTGTCTTTGTCTTTCTTTCCCACTTTACTTTTATTTACGGCTCTGCTTAATTAAATCAAATAAATACCCAAATTCTTTTATAATATTTTACTTTTGATACTTTTTTTAAAATTTTCGTTATTTTTTAACAAATAAATATTCTATCTTATCAATTATCATGTCTTTCCATCTTATTATTTCGGTTTTTCGTCTTTCTTTATAAAAAATTATTTAAATATTGTTCTCCGATGAGTAGCATGTGGGGGCATTTCTGTCTTTTCCTTCGTGTACACACCCCACGTTTCTTGTGTACACCTCGCTGAGGCAAGTATTAAGATTTTTATTTTATAATTAAAATGTGTAATGCGCACGTTCAAATTAAGGCCGAATGGTGTAATCACAAAAGGGCGATTATTAATTAAAATTTGAGATTATTCAATTACAATATCTATTTATGTAGAGGGTATTGTTTGTGGTCGAATGGCTAACGTCTCGTCCCGAAGGATCTTCACAGCAAGTGTTCGAACCTCGCATTGGAGAAGGAGGGATGTCATTTAATTTTGTGCCTTCTATGAAGTCGTCACCGAGATGGTGTAACTGGTCTGAGAGGGTGGTTAGGTGCGTTTTAAAGACTGTCCTCGGATCCAGAAAATATAGGTTAGACCTTTAAAAAACGTAATATTTTATTCTTTATAAAAAATTGTTCGTATAACTCGACAAATAATGTTTTATTTTTTGGAGATGTATATATATATATATACACACACTAATTTCATTTAAATTTTAGAAATGGAGGAATTAGAAGAGTAACGTGAAATTTATGCGAGACTAGTGTAAAAACCATTCATGGGTTTCCGACGAAGAAACGAGTCGTATCAATTTATAACTATATGTAATGCCTGCCAAAAAAAATCGTAAAAAAAAAATATATATATATATATATATATATATAGGTTTAAATAATAATTCATTTAAAAGTAGAATTAAAATAAAAGGAAATAGGTTTTAATGCTGACCAAAGCCATTTATCAGAGCCAATTAGGATCTGATCCACGTGTGATGTCTGGACATTACATCGCAACCGAACTCTCTAGTAATAATTAAATAGCACAAAACCCATTCATTATTATAATTGATTAACCCGTTTTATATTCGATTGGCATGCTGGAAGAAGGATCTAGATTGGCCCGCTCGTATTATTAATCAGATTTTAAATTAATTTTTAGGGTTTGATTAATTAGTCCTCCCTATTTTATGTATGAAATAATTTCCCCCAATCCACCATAGGCCAGTTGTTTATGATTACACCAAATAAATCCAGGTCAGTCCACGATGAATACACTATATCATTATTAAGATCCCAGATATTATTATTCAATTTGCAAATGTACCGTCTTTAATTAAAATTTTCTAAACATTATAACTAATATATCATATAGTTTTATTTTTTGGCCTATGTACATACAATCATTTCTGCCAAAATTTGAGTTTGGTTGGTCATATTTGACAGCGGGTGATGATAATGTCAAAGAATAAGAAACCAAGGCATTTGAGTATTAAATCGGGTAATTCTCTTATAATAAAAGAAAAGGAAGAAAATGAAAGAAAACGAAAAGAGAAGGGTGAAAACGTAAATAGTAGAAATATAAGGAGAGACGAGAGAGGTGTAGGCCATGTGGGGAGGTATCGAGAAAGTGACCTCCACGTGGACGTGGGTCATTGGGGGACCTTTTACTTCATTTTTTTTATAGTTTCCCTGTTTTGCCCCTTAGCTGTGTCCTTATTATGTCTCTTATTATTTCCTCCTATTTTTCTAAAAAGTGATAACCACCTTTGTCCTCCAATCAAGAAAAAAGAAAATTCCAAAAAAACATCATTCAATTTAAAATAACTAACAGATTCATCATTAATTTTTAAAACCATCATATTCATACTGAATTTCAAATTTTTTCTAAAAAATCATTCAAAATTTGAATTTTTAACAAAATCCTCATCGAAATCGAATTAATTTTTGCACGTAGACAGAAAGTACATACATAGTACTTAAGTGGCATGTATTACCTCGCCACATATGATACATATTATATTAACAATAAAAAATTGAAAAAAATTGAAAAGAAATTGTAAAAATTGTGAAAAAAATTCAAAATTATAAAAAAATATAAAATTGTAAAAAATTGTAAAACATTTTTAAAAAATTATAAAAACTATAAAATTGTAAAACAAATTGTAAAAAATTATATTTTTTTTATAAAAAAAATTATAAAAATTGTAAAAACCTATTTATAAACTGATTTAAAAAACTCTACTTCATTCCAATTTTTACAATTTTTTTATGAAATTGGCTTTTTAATTTCTATTCCTTTCATATATGTCACCCCACCAATTATATTTATATATACATTTTTTTACAATATTTATATAATTTTTACAACTTTTATTTTTTTACAATTTTTATTTTATTTTTACAATTTTTATAATTTTTTAATATTAATCTGATGTGTATCCTATGTGACTAGTTAGTATATGCCATATAAGTACTACGTAGGCGTTTTCTATCTACATGGTAAAATTAATTCGGTTCCGATGAGAATATTATTAAAAATTCAAATTCTGAATGATTTTTTAGAAAATAATTTCAAATTTATTATAAATATAATGGTTTTAAAAGTTCGTGATGAATTTGATAGTTATTTGGATGATTTTTTTTGAGAATTTCCTTTAAAAAAACAAATCGAGAAGAAATTAGTATCATTTATAAATAAATGATAGAGCCTACTGTTACTCTTCAACCGCCAGGTATGGTTCAACTGCCGAATATTGTTTGCAAATACATGTACATAAACAGTAAATTTGAATTTTTAATAAATAGTCTTTTCATTCTTGTACACAATTCTAAAAAAGAAAATTAGTGAAATTTTATTTTCGAATCTCTCAAACGATCTATAAGTAAATACAGCTTGACCGTGGGTTATTATTTCGGAAAATATAATGGTTCTTCTTTCTTTAACCAGATTTTATAACTTTATTAATTATATATAT